AGCAGTAAAAATACAAAACAGTAGCATTATGAAATAGCATTGCAATTTAAAATAAATGTTCCCCTTCAGGAACTCGAGCTGCGTCGAGTCGCTTTGGGAACGCCCTTGCGTGACCGCGTTCTGAAGCACATGTCAAATCCGTCCAATGGAGCAGCGAGACGTCACGAGCAGGGTGACGTAAGCACCAGAAAGCATAAAAGCGCATCCGGCCGGGCGCAAACCAGCTTCTGTCCTTCAGTAGCGCTCTGTGTATGTGTCTGTCTATTTACTGTTGTCTGTCCGCACAAGCACTTATATATATAAAACAATGAGAAAGCTATGGCGAGCGAACGGCATTACAAACGTTGTGTTTCTCCCTGCCCACGATATCTGGCGGCGGGGGATACACACGATTTGTCTGTCGTTTGTTTGGGAGCGGAGCATGCACGGTCAGCTTTCGAGCAGCTGATTGTCTCCGCTCTCGCCTGGCTGTGTTTTGTTGAGTGTCCTTTTCTCGGTCCTCACCCGCTAAAACCGCAGCTCTCTCTCTCGCGGTCCCAACCCCCCCCCAAGAGAGAGAGCCAGACGCTTCATCTATCTTCCTCCGAGGAGGTGGATGTGATGAGTGTCGTAAAAAGGATCGGGGATCTTCAGGCACTCTCTGTTTCGTGCCTGGAGTTCGCTCCAGGCATGGTTAGGGCATTCCTTTACACGAGTGCCAGGTATGTCCCTAAGGTGCCCACTTCTTCACCAGGGCCCATAGTACTTAAGGCATTCTGTCCTCCTCAGTACCAGGAAGTAGGCCAAGAAAGGCTTAATCTGCTCTGTCCAGTTCGAGCACTGGACGCTTACGCACACAGAGCTGCCCCGTGGCGTAAGGCAGATCAGCTTTTTGTTTGTTTTGGTCCGCCAAAGAAGGGATTTCCAGCGACCAAGCAGACTATGCGTAGGTGGGTGGTCGAGGCCATCTCACGTTTTCAGGATTCTTTGAAAGTTCAAAAGAACAGTAATTAAAACAACTATACAGCAATGTAAAAGTATTTACTGTCACTCTTGATCAATTCAATGCATTGTTGGTGAATAAAAGTATAAAGTAAAGAAAACTTTTTCACACATCTGTGATATATTGTAAAAGTTCAAAGTTAAAGCAAAAACATAAATGTTGTACAACATTTACTAACATGATCTGGTTGAATTCATCTTCAGATATTTTAATCATGTTCATGACATATTTTAAAGTAGTTGCCTGAATGAAATCTAATTTAATCAAAACATTTTTTTTATTCAATATTCATTTTGCAAGTGTTTTTGATATGTCAACCTCACTGGTGTAAACTGGGAATTTTAAATGAGATTTGAGGCTAGCTAAGCAAGGCTTTTGAAACCATTAAACCAATTTTCTTGTCATCTGAATTAATGGGACCGGAGCAGCAATAGGCTCCATCTATAAATGTACATAATTATTTCAGATGTGTCAAAACAACTTATAGCACATAGGCAGAGGCGGCGCTAGGGTGGGGCTTGATGGGGCTATAGCCCCATCAGAAACTTGTTTAGCCCCGGCACAGCCCCCCAAGGATTTCCTAATGATGTTCCTGTTTTTTGGTGTCACTTTTATAAACATTTAAAAATAAACATTAAAAACCTTTAAAAAAAAGGTCTAATATGTGGCCTATAAACAATTGATATTATGGGGGAGGGGTCAAGCAACACAACGCGCAAACTGTGCGCAGGAGGGTGAAAGTCAGTAAATTCACCATAGAGAAAGTGAAAGTAAAAAAACTGATGGAGCTTTCTACTGCTGCATTAACGGCGCATATTCTCTGAAACAACGAGAGACGAAACTACTTCAACATATGCTAAAAACGGTATATAACTGTCTTAAATTATTCCCTTAATATTTGTCTTGTGGCCCGTCTTGTGGCCGAAAGAAAGCTGCTCTTAATTTTCATTGATGACTACAGTGTTAATAATTTTAATTATAGGACTATAATTCATTATATAAATTAATAGACCTGTTTTTATAATAAATATAATTAATATAATTAATAGGCCCTTGCGTGCCCGTCCGAAACCACCACTGTGTGTCAGCACTTTATCGATTGTAAAAAAAAATGGTTAGAATTTACCATGTTTTCCTGCCAGTTGGCATTGAGAGTGACTGACACTTGATGGTCAGAAAAAATTACTAAATAGATATGTACAAAACTATTTTTTTTTTATAAAAAACACTTTCACTTTCACACCCACTTTCTCTCTTTTCTATGTGCGTTCATAAATTGTATTAAAGTGTCATAGTTGGCAGTTGGCAATAGAAGTTATATTACTAATAACAGTGGCATATGAGAAGTTTAAAACCGCAGAATTTTTTTTTAAATTTGCCTTTTTCAAAGTTGCTATTGGCTATATAAAAAACACAAGGTGGCTGAATTTGCATGTTATTTAGATAGCTGAAGCTTATATAGTCGTTCATTAATTTCACTCAATTGAATTAGTTTTTTCACACCCCCTGTGAACTGTTAAGCCCCCCTTAGCACCCTCAACAAAAAAATCCTGGAGCCGCCACTGCACATAGGCCTATACATTTCACCACACTTCTTAAACCATGTGAGGATGTAATAAATATGATTTTGTTTACTGATTATTCATGAGTCCCTGAATATATTTTTATCTTTTTATAGAAGCCTGTATATAAAAACACATGAAACCACAGTGACTTATTTTCCCTGAGTTCCAGTGAGGTTCCCATGACAACTGATGTTCATGTTGATTGCATTACATGTCCATTCCATTACATAAAGGGGTCATATGATGTGATTTCAATTTTTCCTTTCTCTTTGGAGTGTTACAAGCTCTTGGTGCATAAAGAAGATCTGTAAAGTTGCAAAGACTAAAGTCTCAAATCCAAAGATATATTCTTTATAAAAGTTAAGATTCAACCACACCTACCTAATACGGCTCATTCTAACACGCCCCCACATATCTACGTCACGATGTGGGAAGATTTGCAAAACGCCACTCAAATGTTCACACAAAGAAAGAAATTTGCCACTGATGATTCAAACGCGAGTTTTGAGCAGTGTAGATTAGCGCTTGTTGTTTGTCATTTCTCCGATCACAAATGCAGACATGGTTTTATGTTTACGCGGCGCAATGCAACGCAACACATAAAAAGACAGTATAAGTCATTATAATCCGTAATTATGTCCCCACTGGATGCAACAAATGCCTTGTTTATAATGGGTTTTAATGTTTTTGTATCGTCGCTCTGGCTGGGAGACGGCATCACAGTATGGTGAGGGGCGTAACATTTCCGTCACACGCTTGAGGTATTCGGCCAATCACAACGCACTGGATAGCTGGCCAATCACAGCACACCTCGCTTTTCAGATCGATGAGCTTTGTAAAAATCGACGTGTTTCAGAAAGGTGGGGCATAGAGGAGAAACAATAATGTACAGTATGTGGAAAATAATGTGTTTTTTAACCATAAAACACATAAACACATTTCATTACACCAAATACACAAAATAATGTTCTTTTTAGCAACATCATATGACCCCTTTAAGTACAATAGACAAGAGTCAGTATCATGAATAGAAACGGACATAAAATTGCTCATTAAAACAGAAAAGTGCTTGGGTGATGGTGCATTATTGACTTTTTCTGGATTAGTGTGGACAGTCAAAATCCATAAAAATAGGGCATAATGTACAGTAGAAATATGAAGGAATTTTCAAATTGTTTTACCTGTGTTTTATTTTGCACTGCATTAAGTTTAAGGGTTAACAGATATGTCTATAAAATTAATGGATAATATCCTGGCAGAAAATGACCAGTACTTTTTTCTTTTTTTTTAACAGTGTAGTTTTGGCTGGACGGGGAAAAAAAACAACACTATGCAAACAAAAACTTAATTAAATTACTTTGGCATACCACCAAATTAGGTTAATATTATTAATAATATTGTGTGGATTCATTAAATTATTCATTGAATTGCAGGTATGAATAAAAGACTAACTATGTGTTTCTGCCACAACAGTTACAGAAAAATGCAGGCAAGGCACTGATTTACTCAATACAAAATAGTGCAGTAAGAAATGTCTTTACATTGTCCGCAGAGGGATGCTCCAGTACATGTCATTAATTTATTTATTTCATATTTTATAGTAGGGTAAGATGACTGTTTTTTTTTTCAGCCTTGGTTCACACTGTTCTGGTCTGTTACCAGCTGTGGCCTAAGGGCTACAACATCAGTTCATGAGTTTTTGGAACTCATGGCATCACTGTTTCCTCACCTCAGGCCCAAACTGTGTTTGATGAGTCAGTGTTTTGAGGCCGAGAATGAAATTATTTTTTTAGTTCTTAAGTGAATTAGGACTAAACTTGGCAAGCAATAGAGGCAATTATACCATAAGAGGATCAATAAGCGGATCAGAGACTTGCTTCTTTTGAGTTCCTTTGCTTATGTTTGGACTGAGTTTTAAGGAAGTCAAATTTTCTTTAGTTCTGTCAGGACCACTATCGTCAAAATGATAGATACTTAGCATAAAGTTTGGTTTGGCGGTATGGTTCTGTTCTGGGCAAAAAACCTCCCTGCCCATCCATGCAGCCTGTCATGAATGAGCAGGGAGAGCAGCAATAATCCCTCAGAGGAAGGTGGGAGGGAAAGCATAAATCAACCCCCCCCCCCCCCCCCCAGGGTTAACAGAACAGAACAAGGCAGATATCATTAATGTACTCAATGATATTTAAGTGTAACACTTTATTCAAGATAAAGGAGTCTGATTAGCAAGGAATATCAGAAAGCTAAGTCCTGACTGTGGCGAAAGGTGGAGCTGGGGATGGAGGAGGGTAATTTGCTCCAAAGCAAGCTGAAAAGCTCCTGAATAATACTGAATACAGCTTATATAGGAATGCCGCGATAGGTGTCGTATTCCTATAGGTAGATGTGATCAGCTGAGAATCAGCTGATGCAAGCTTGACTCACGTGACCTGCCAGAACTAACGCTAAAGCTTAATTTTTCGTGAATAATTCGGTATCATCACTCTATTGGCATTGAGCGGTAGCAGGTTGAAGGTGGAGTAGTTCTGTTGAGACATTTATGTATAGTCAGTACCTACCACAATAATCTTTGAAGTTTGTATTTTGTTGATATTATTCAAAACAGTTTTCTATTTTAATATACTTTAAAATGTCATATATTCCTGTGACGCAAAGCTGAATTTTCAGCATCATTACTCCAGTCTTCAGTGCCACATGATCCTTCAGAAATTATTTATTAGATATAAAATAAATTATGACATATTAATATAAATATTTAATTTAATTTCTGGGTTAACAAATGACAGTTTGTGAGCAACAGGATTTTGGTTGGTTTCAGTTATAACAAACCTCTGTCTGGTACACCAGTCTTTTCACTTCAGGCTGTTTGGGATGTCATATAAACCTAAAATATAACATGTTAAGAAAGTCATCTTAAAGTCAGAATTTCACTGCCCTGATCCCCCACTGTCTACATCCCACCTTTTCTTACCTTGTGCTATTCCAGAGCAGCATGAAGCACAGGTACAGATCCTTCAGCCCAAGAATCAATCGCACAGGGCTGGGGCTCTTGATCCTCTTGCCAAAAGAGTTCATGTTCTGAATCATCCCCTTCATCTCTCCTCAGGAGAAGACATTCTAGCGTCTCCACCAGGTTATTTTGTGCCCACCACACAGAGAAGGGTATCAACTGGTTGGAAGATAGAAAGTTTGTGTATGAGCTAAATGAATGCCTCAGAACTTTTCCATTTTAAGTAAGCTATTCATATTCAGACCTTAATCTGGTTAGACGCCATATTGAATTTTACATGGATGAAAATGAGGCTGTGAGGGATAGGCTTACAGTCTTTACAATGGCCTGTGCTGTAAAAAAGTCCTAGATCATGTAATTGTCAAAGCTCACAACTTTCAATGATGTTTTATGGAGTTTTTGTGTAGTTAAAGTCTTTTGGAAAGATGTTTCGTCAGCTGAAATATTGGTATGTTGTTAAACAACAATGCAATCCATTGTACTTCAATCCATCACAGCTAACTAAACTAAAACTATAACTGAAATAAAAATTATAAATATGCAGTCATATTTATTAAAAAATGAATAAATAATAAAACAGACTCAACAAAATGACTAAAACTTTAAAATAAAAATGAAAATATAATAAAATATATTTTAAAATATTAATAAAAACTAATAATAATATCACAATGATACTAAAATAACACTGGTGTATTGTCTAGATGATTACATTCTGTAACCTGTTTAACCATAACATGGTATAACCCATCCTATGAATAAATAAAACAGCCAAAACTAGCATACAAGCATATGGAATTTAACTTTTACAAAGCAAGTTCTATATAAATAGACATATGATCAAAAATTATGTGAATTGTCTTCTCACCTGTCTTTGCAGATACACCTGATAGCATCTGTCCATCACTTCTTCCATCAGTTCTGCTATGATATCCACCACCACCTCCTCACCCTCCTCCTGGGAGAGCATGCTGGTCCAGGTGGACTCTGTAAGGCGGCCTGGGACAATGTCCACTGTCTCAACAGGCTGGACCGAAGCAGCATTACCTGGGTGCCATTTTCATGCGTTTTTGATTGTCTCCTTGTTATTAGTACTTGTTATCAGCCAAATGAAGTACGGAAAATTGTGAACAAACAGGGTAAGGTTTAATGGTAGAGACTCACATGATGTAATTACTTACAATTGTGCAAATTATGTGTGCAAATCAATGGTAGACAAAAACGGAACATATAAGTTTTTATACTGTAAACAAGATAATCATATATCCTAGGAGGTTGGAGGCAGCGATGCCGGTGGCACTCAACTTTTTGCGGCCGGTAACGTTAGTATGGATCAGTGTTAATTGTTAATGATCATCATTGGCAAATTACATAAATTACGGTTCCTAAAAAAAAATTTGCTGAGATTATCTCGGTACAGTATCTACTTGGTTTGCAGCTGTTTCTCCAGAATGACGATTTAATCGGTCTTTACTGCACGGCTCTGTACACTTTTAGTTCACTGCTCAATGCAACGATACCTTCTAAATGGCGCCTCGGTGACGTCACACATAATAAACGCACGTGACTGACAAAGACCGATAAACAAAATGATAAATTCGGGATATTTTAGTTATTAGTTGTCACACATGGGGAATTGTCAAAATATGTTTTTCTCAGTAACTACTGTCTTTTGAGTCCAAATACAAATTCAAATGTTTGTTTTCTCTGGTTGTGAGGCTGGAGTGTCCGAATTCGGAATAGCATTCTAACGTTAGTATACTACTCTAACTATTTGCGCCATATAAAATAATATAGGCAAGTATGTTAGTAGGCTTCTTCTTTTTTACCAACTGCTAGTATGCTGGCAAAGATAAGAATCATTTCATGTGCTGTTCAAAAATAGTCATATAATTCATAAAATAGTAGGGTAAGATGACAACTCATACTAAAGTGCAAACAAAAAGCAGTATTTTCCAACACTCCATTGTATGTTATTCGCAATTAACGTTAGGAGTAGCCTACACTTCTATTTCAAAAGCGCCGCTTCTGAAGTTATACAACTAATGACGGAGTCTGCAAAAACTTTTCAAACATTTTCACCATTAAACGCATTAAAGCAGAAGAGAAGGCATATGTCAGTAACATTAAACACTCACCCGTATTTGATATGTTCTACTTGTGTTGTTGGCTTCGGATCTGGTTGCCAAGCAGCCAGACGCCTCTGACGTAAGGGTTCTGCGGGGGGCTGAGCATGAAGACACCGGAAACCAGTTCAATCTGAAATTACATATTTAGGCATTGTGATAACTAAAGATCAAGATAAAAGATGTACCTTGAATTTTGACCCGGTTATATTAAAAGCCCAAAGAAGATTCAATGCATGGTTGCAGAGAGACTTGACCTTGAGAGGCAGAGTACTGCTTGCTACAATTTATCTCAATTTCATAAACCGGCATTACTTGCATGGTCAATAATCTTTAAGCACAACTTCTCCCCTCACCGTTACTTCATTTGGAACAATCAAGGCATTGTATATAAGAGAACATCTTTATTTTATAGCAGTTGGTTTGAGAAAAACATTCTGATTGTTTCCCAGTTATTTAACTCAGAAGGTCTTATTTTAAGTTTCGAAGAATTCTTATGTAAATGTAATTTTCCCAAAGAATTCTCCATTGTCATGGGACGCTATTCCTAAAGGAGCTGTTCTGCTAAAAGCCCAAAGAAGATTCAATGCATGGTTGCAGAGAGACTTGACCTTGAGAGGCAGAGTACTGCTTGCTACAATTTATCTCAATTTCATAAACCGGCATTACTTGCATGGTCAATAATCTTTAAGCACAACTTCTCCCCTCACCGTTACTTCATTTGGAACAATCAAGGCATTGTATATAAGAGAACATCTTTATTTTATAGCAGTTGGTTTGAGAAAAACATTCTGATTGTTTCCCAGTTATTTAACTCAGAAGGTCTTATTTTAAGTTACGAAGAATTCTTATGTAAATGTAATTTTCCTAAAGAATTCTCCATTGTCATGGGACACTATTCCTAAAGGAGCTGTTCTGCTTTTAAGGGACTCTGTTAGATCATCCAGCACTTTATCTATTTCTTTAGACCCATTTGAAATCCCAGTAGGAAAACTATGCTTTTTGTCACATCCTTCATCACGTAACTATAAGATTAGATCGCTTTTTCAAAAGGAGCTTGTAACTACTCCATATGTGATGTCTTATTGGAAGAATGGGGTTGATTATATTGATTGGGAAAAAGTATGGACTCTGTCTTCGAAATACATAATAACTAACGAGGTTAGAGAAATCTCATTCAGATTGTTACACAGATTTTACCCAGCGAAAGTGTTTTTGAAAAGGTTTGACCCTAATGAAACTGATATGCATATCTTTTGGGATTGTCCTCACACACAGCTATTTTGGATTGAATTCTCTAATGTTATCAATCGCAGTGTACTCCAGGGTTTCTCTCTGCTTTTTAAGGATGAGCACGTTTGGCTTCTTTAATATACAAAGAGATCAAATGAATGAATATTTTATTAGTAACCTATTATTACTTCTTGCAAAATGTCATATTCACCGCAGTAAATTCACTATATATTGTTAAATTCATTTATATATTGTTTATAAAAAAAGAGGCTCAGCAGTATATCCAAACTATTTCATCTTCCAAGAATCTCAAGGCTTTTAAAACGGTTCATTTATTTAATCTGTTTAATTTAGTTTGTTAAATCTTTCGTTTTGTATTATTTATTTATTGTTACATACATCTATAAATGGCGCTTTGCATGTAATGTCACCTCTTTGTATGTAATGTTGATATTCTCTGTATTTTTATATCTGGTACCTTGGCATTAAAAAAATAAAATAAAATAAAATGAAGACACCGGAAACGACGAAATATTGCAGCCTGACCCAAGCTACCTGATGGTGGCAGTAATGCACTGTTAAGTGCGGGTGCCAATAAAAGAAAAAAGAGAAAGAAGAAGAAGAAACATTGCAGCCATTTTGCAGTAAGTTCAGGACAGCAGGACTAGGCCAGCGGTCTCCGGACAGAGTATCTAAATAGCACAGAATTATGGCGAGGACGATGGTAAGTTGGTGCCTTTGTGATGTTTTATTCGTTTTAACATTATCGGTGAACACCAGCACTTTTGGTGCGCAACCGGGTTTGCTGGAAAAGGTGGCCTGGAGAGTGCGGTGGTGTGTTGATTTGTAGCCTACGCGACCAGTGCGGAATCACGGAAATTAATCCGTCTTGATTATATTAAACTGGTTTCGTTGCAGGTCCTGTTGTAAATGTGTTTCTTTTCAAAGCTTCTTAACACCTCCTGCATATCTTGCAATGCATACGCATGCGTCTCTCTCTCTCCGTCTCTGTGAGTGTGTGTGTGAGTGACAAGGTTAGAGAAATCTCATTCAAATTGTTACACAGATTTTACCCAGCTAAAGTGTTTTTGAAAAGGTTTAAATCAGACAAAGATACAAGCTGTTCTTTTTGTGGTGACCCTAATGAAACTGATATGCATATCTTTTGGGATTGTCCTCACACACAGCTATTTTGGATTGAATTCTCTAATGTTATCAATCGCAGTGTACTCCAGGGTTTCTCTCTGCTTTTTAAGGATGAGCACGTTTGGCTTCTTTAATATACAAAGAGATCAAATGAATGAATATTTTATTAGTAACCTATTATTACTTCTTGCAAAATGTCATATTCACCGCAGTAAATTCACTATATATTGTTAAATTCATTTATATATTGTTTATAAAAAAAGAGGCTCAGCAGTATATCCAAACTATTTCATCTTCCAAGAATCTCAAGGCTTTTAAAACGGTTCATTTATTTAATCTGTTTAATTTAGTTTGTTAAATCTTTCGTTTTGTATTATTTATTTATTGTTACATACATCTATAAATGGCGCTTTGCATGTAATGTCACCTCTTTGTATGTAATGTTGATATTCTCTGTATTTTTATATCT